TTAAATGGCTTATCTTTAGCTCTGTTTTTTAAAGGCCAGTTGGATGGCTGTGACTAAGCAAATTTATTGTTTGTTTCTAGCGCAACGTTTAACTGTCAAAGAATCAACAGATAATTTGTTCCCAGAGCAGAAGTCTTCTCTAAGTTATTTGAGGAGGAAGAAAGAACGACCTTGCATGTTAAATTTGAGTGGTACTGATTCATCAAGAATACTTAGACCGAGGCAAACCAGATTAGACAGTCCAGTTAGCAATCGGTATGCAGGCGACTGGAGCAGCTGTGGAGAAAACTACTTTTTAAATACAAAAGAAAATTTAAATGACGTAGATTATGATGATGTCCCTTCAGAAGACAGAGAAAACGGAGAAAATTGTAGCAAAATGTATGGACCAGATATAATGATTGAACAGCCAGTACCCTTGTCTGAAGAGTACACATTTCAGACGTATTTGACAATGCAGACAATTGAGTCTACAGTGGACCAAAAAGTCAATCTCAAAGATCTACAGGAAAGTATTGATACTTTGATTGGAAATCTGGAGCGTGAACTCAACAAAAATAAGCTTAATATGAGTGTTTGAGATTGAGAGGTTTTATTTGCTTTTTTGTAATGTTTTAAATTTTAAATCAATCTTTCTCGTTTTCTTATACCGCTCACAATGGTTTTATTTTTTTACTTTTAAAAATTCCATTAATTTCTAATAAGTTCATGTGATTCCATTAAAAACGCTATCATTAATACAATTTTTACTTATCTCAATAGAAAATTTTTCTTGGGGCAAAGATAACTTGGACTTGTGAATATTTTAACAAATATGGCCAATTCTGTGGAGATGACTTTTAAATGCACTTACAAGGTTCAGATAAGTTATTGACCCCTCATGGTTTTTGTACTTTATAGGAACTGCTCTTTTGTAGCTGAAACAGGTGTTTCTTTCAGAGGAACGTGGTAGCTGCTCCGTCTGGTTTGCGGTGTGAGCCCATGTACACTGCAGCATCCTTTGATCATATTTCATTTGCAATGCAAATGCTGCTCTAAAAAACTTTTTATAAATAAAAGTAAAATTATACAAATATTAATGTATTCTTATTAGTGTTCAGTAATTATTTAAGCTTATGAAAACTAAATATTTTTATAAACCTGAAACGTGTATATTTATAAGTGCATATATGGATAGATGTTAGAATGAGAGGAGGCATGGGCTACAGAATCACATGTATCTTTAAAGTATATATGTCATGAGGCCAAAATTATTAGCTTCAAATGTCTTTTTCAGGGAAAGAATATTTAAGTTAAAGGAGGAGTTCTGTAGAAACACTTGAACCAAAACACTAGAGGCATCTGAATAGAAATAATAGACTTTCTTTTTTTATTCACAGAAAGTCACAGTATCCCTAGTGAGAAGTCATCTTTTAAATTGAAATTCTCTAACTTCTTAAGGGATTAAATGCCCAGATTTCTGCACTAGTGATTTACACTTCAAAAATCTTTACCTATTCTATGCATTTTTATGTTCTGCTTTTTTAAAACAGAGTAATTGTGCTTTAAATGTATTATTTATTTGTAGTAGTACATTGATAACATTGACTTTATAATTGCCCTCATATGTATCTAAAGAAATCTTGCCGGCATAGTCCATGTTATTGATTTTTTAAAATAACTTATTTTGGCTAAGTGTATCTACCAGATAGGCATTATAGCAGTCACAGCAGTGTTTGAAAAATGTAAATTTAGAAGACTTTTTATTAAATTGGAATGTATTTTTTTAAACTTTTATACCCACAGAACATGTAATTTTAAAATTATAAATAAAATTTGAATTACCAACTTAAAGATGTAGCAGCCAGTAGAAAACACTTCTTGATGTTTTTTTCTAAATATTAAAGTATTTAACTATTTCTATGTTAAATATACACTGATAAACAGAACACCTTGTTATTTAATTTGAAAACTCAATTGTTAAAAAGCCAGATAAATAATTATTTTTATATGAAAATTTCATTTTTTAAAGCTTTGTATAACAATTCAGAAGAATACCAAAAGAATTTGTGACAGGTATATATCTAAACAGTCAAAAGAAATGTACTTTAAATGTTTTATAGGAAGACTTTGTTTGCTATATCATGTATACTGTATGAATTGAATAAGTTGTTCCAGAAATGTAAAAGTTTTATTAAAGAATTATAACCTTGGTGTCATGCTATTAATTATCATCATGATTTTAAGGATCACTTATTTTAATGTCATTGTTTTTAAACATGTTAAAGTATTGGACAATCAAATGTTATCCATAAATCCATGTAACAAATCCTTTTTGTGCAGAATTGAATTTTCCAGAATCTGAAATACCTTAAAGGCCAGATTTATTTTGTTATATAAATTTGGATTGGAATAGTTTCATCTCTGCTGTCTTAAATAGAAAATACTAAGCATTTATTTTGTCTGGATCACCGAGTCCTAACTGTAAATCTCTTTTGTTGACTTTGCTGTGTTTAGTAGTGCTCTGTAATTTACGCCTTTACTTTAAATGGCCCTTAACTTCAAATCTTTTTTGGGTTTTCATACCTGCTTTTTATAAACTCCTGGGATCTCGCTACACAGACTACCAGCTGTCATTCCCTTCTAAGTCTACTTGCCCCAATGTTTTTTAGGATTAAAAACGATCTTAATTTTAGTGCATGTACCTGAATAAAATTTCAAGCAATCCGTATGGATAGAAAATAAAAAGTAGAAGTGTGCCTCCCTGCCATTCACACCAATCCTGCTTCTCAGAGGTAACAGCCACTTTTTATTCTTTAGGTAGCTACTATCTCTACCACTTGATCTAGGTTTACTGTGCCTGTTTCTCGATTTGTCATTTAAGTAGTATCTGTTGATTGTTCATTATGAATATTAAGGAATGTCCATTCCTCCTCCCCATTTTATATTATTTTGGTTTCCTTTATAACTAGTAATCTTTATTTCTTGATCCATCTGTATTAAACAATGTCTCTTGGCTTGCTACCATTGTGGAAATGACCAACCCTATACTTTCCTTTCAGCTCATTACTGCCTTTTACCTCCTAACTTCTCTAAGTTACACAATTAGTTTATTAATCAGCATTAATAGATGTATATTATTTGGGGGAACTATATTTGACTTAGGTTTTTCCTTTATATGTTTCTAAAAACAACAAATCAATAACTAGCCATTATGTGCTGGATTATGCAAAAGCATTTACTAGTAAGTCAGGTGATTTTGTCTCCTACATATCCAATCTTATGTCCTCAGATCTATGCTGACATATGCAGAATATTCCAAGCTAAAGGTCAAATGAGTTATTTTATCTGCTAGCCATCAACTCCTCCAAATCATGCTGTGTATTATTTGCTTCAGAATTGGGTCATGCCTTGGGTCACCTGGGTGGCTCAGTTGGTTGAGCACCTGACTCTTGATTTCGGCTCAGATCATGATCTCACGGTTTCTTGAGTTCGAGCCTTGCGTAGGGCTCTGCGCTGGCAGTGTGAAGCCTGCTTGGGATTCTCCCTCCCTCCCTCTCTGCCCTTCCCCTACTTGTGCCATCTCTCTCAAAATAAATAAATAAACTTAAAAAAATAAGAATTAGGTAATGGATTTTGCAGATTTTTATTTTTTCCTGGAGTAATTGCTTTTTTTTTTTTTGACCGAAGTAAAATGCTTTCTTTACTGTAACAATTATTTTATCATGGTATTGGATTACCAAATTTGTTCAGAATGCTTTTAGCTCTCATCGTGGGATTCTTAAAGTATATGCTTGCCTTTATTTATTTTTCTTTGACAGAAGAAAAATATCTTCACTCTAACCCTGAGATCATCTTAAGTTTTTAAATCAACTTTATCGAATTTGGACAAAGTGGTTTTTAGCTATCCTAGGATATGTTTTCCTTGCATTCCTGTATTTGATTTTGTTTTACATCTTTTTTTTTAATATAGTGTTTTTGCTTGCTGAAATCTATAAGTACTTCCCCCCACATATACACCTCCTGCCACCCCTCATATCTCCCACACCCCCCCACCACACTCACCAACCCCGCACACAAGAAGGGTGCTTGAGAGAGAAAGCTTTGAGTCCTTGCATGTCTGACAAGGCCTTCATTTTCCCTGTACTTCATTTTGATTTGGATCTACAGTGCCAGGTTCAACTCACTTTCCTCGAGAACGTTGAAGGCATTTATTATCTCCTTTTTTTAAATTTAATATTTATGTATGTATGTATTTATTTTGTAAGTTTATCTTTTTTTTTTAATTTTTTTTTCAACGTTTATTTTTTTATTTTTGGGACAGAGAGAGACAGAGCATGAATGGGGGAGGGGCAGAGAGAGAGGGAGACACAGAATCGGAAACAGGCTCCAGGCTCTGAGCCATCAGCCCAGAGCCTGACGCGGGGCTCGAACTCAGGGACCGCGAGATCGTGACCTGGCTGAAGTCGGACGCTTAACCAACTGCGCCACCCAGGCGCCCCTGTAAGTTTATCTTTGACAGAGAGAACGTGAGTGAAGGAGGTACGGAGAGAGAGGGAGACAGAGGATCCAAAGTGGTCTCTGCGCTGACCGTGAGCCCAATGGGGGGCTCAAATCCATGAATCATGAGATCATGACCTGCACTGAAGTCAGATGCTTAACCAACTGAGCCACCCAGGCGCCCCATTTTTAAGTAATTTTTACACCTAACATGGGACTCAAACTCACGACTTCAGGATCAAGAGTCGCATGCTCTACTGACTGAGCCAGCCAGGCACCCCCTTCTCTGTTACCTTCTTACATCCAGTTTTGCAGTAGTCCAGGCAAGAAAGTTGGTAGTTTCAGATCAGGGAAGTCAAGCATTAGAGGTGGTGAGAACTGGTTGTATTCAGGCTATGTTTTGTAAGTAGGAGCCCAAAGAATTTGCCAGTGGACTGTGAGAGAGTCTGTGAGTGAGTGAGTAAGGCCTGAGCAGCTGAAGGATGTAGTTACCATCAAATGAGATAGTGGTGACTCTACTGTATTTTTTAAATGAGCTTCTTGTAGTGGAAGTTGCTATTATTAATGTAGTGTTTATAATGTCCAGTTTAACTGTAAGTACTAATGCTTTGGTACCTGGTAATGATGCTCATAGAGTCACTTTTAGGGACTTGGAAAGTGATAATGTTGTATTATGTTTAATAATAACAAGTTTTAATTTGATTCTTACAGACCTGAGGACTTTGGTATGAAGAGGAATGCTCTTTTGCTCTTTTCTCAGCCCAGTGCTCACTTACGTTTGATAAGTATTGAAGTACCAGAAATCAGAGTTCTTAGTTGCTTTCTGGCTCAGCTAAAAACTGACTGGCTAATTCAGGCAGAAATGGGACTAATTTTAAAAAGTTTCAGAGGGAAGACTTTTAGGATGCTAAAAATATTTTATAATTGGATCTAGGTGGAGACTTCACAGGTGTTTACATATCAAGTTCCATACTTAAGATTTTTGCCCTTTAAATAAATCACACCTCAATATTTTTTTAATGAGGAATCTGGAGGAATAGACTTGGAAAATAAGCAGAGCTAAGAGAGGCTAGGTGATCAGAATGACAGCAACCAGGGCTGACCGATTAGGGTGCTGCTGTTCTCACCACTGGCACCAAACACAATTCCGTGCACACCACTGGAATTAGTTTTGTTTTTTTTTTTAATTTTTAAAAAATGTTTGTTTTTGAGAGAGAGAGAAGACCGAGTTGGGGAGGAGCAGAGAGCGAGGGAGACAGAATCCGAAGCAGGCTCCAGGCTCTGAGCTGTCAACACAGAGCCCAATGAGGGGCCCATCTCGCAAACCTTGAGATGGTTATCTGAGCCAAAGTCTGATGCTTAACCAACTGAGCCACACAGGTGCCCCTGGAATTGGTTATATTGCATCGTTCCTGATTCAAAGTCCCTGACAGAAGCATCAGATTGTGCCCCAGCTTCCAGGTGTCAGGGAGGGAGCACCTAGCTAGCATCCTTTCCTTGGAATTTACACAACAGTAAATTCTATGAATTTAAGAAGGGGCTTCAGATGCCAGGCCGCCTGACAGTGACAAAATATCACACTTTCCTGTCTTCATCTTACTCTATTGCCCCCAAACTGGAGTCTTTCTCTCACTCCCCTTACCCAACCCATCAACAGTTCTATGATACATCCTGAAACTGTGCACTTACTTGTGTCACTACTATACCCTAGACCCAAGCCACCATCATCTCTCCATCTCTTACTGCTTGTTTCTTCTCTTTGCTATCATTCTCCTCTCTCCACACTCACAATCCATCCTGTCCACAGAAGCCAAAGTCATCTTTAAAAAAATAGATAAACTGCTATATAATTTCTTCAGCCTCTTCTCTTCAGCCTGAATTTCTTCAGTTCTCTTCTCTAGCAACACTGAGGTCTTGATTGCTGCCTTAGGATCTTTGCACTTGCCATTTTCTCTTTGTGGAGTGCTCCTCATCCATATTTGACTTGAGTGGTTATTTTTTTGTCATTTCACTTGTCTGCTCAAATGCCACTTCAGAGGCTGCCTCTGAAAACCCAATCAGTAGCCTGCCTTGAAAACTGGGGGAAGAAGAAGGTAGAGATTTGTCGCTTGGAACAAGTACCAAATAGTTATGGTACTATTTGATTAAACGATGGACAGTTATAACTTTAGAAAATGTTTACCTTTAAACCAAATTTAGGAAGAAAAACTAAAAAAAAGCATATCTGCACCCTTACATATCTAGTTCACTGCCATCTGCCTAAGATTTATAACAGAAGATGTTCAGTTAACTATTAATGAATGAATACAAAAGGATTCTCAGAGAATGGTTGCCCTTTTGTCAGGAAAAGATTAAGGGCCATGAGATGCAATGTGTATGTAATTATTCAAATATTTACTGCTGAGTAGTAATTATTTGTGGTTAAGAAAGTTATCTTTTTTTTTTTTTAAGTATGTTTTTTGTGGAAGGGGGAACAGCCTTGGGAAAATTAGTAACTTAAAAATTTAGTGGGTTGGTAAATTTTAGGCAATAGTTTTTTTGTTTGTTTTTTGTTTTTGCTGCAGAATCGCAATGTTTCAATAGAAACAATTATTTAAATATTATGTATATGAAAAAAGTGTTTCTCACCATAAGGAAGGTTGGTCTCTCAGAGAGCTTTTGTTAAAATGGGTCATTTATTTGTTTACAGAAATCATGAGCAAAAAAACATCCTGATTCATTTTAGTGTGCACTTTTTGCTAGAACTGGAAAAACCTATTTTCCATTTTAGTAAAAGAAAATATTTTCATAAAGCTGAATGAACCCTATAAGTAAGACTCTTATTAGAAAGAGTCTGCTATTAGAATAGCAGAGACAATTTGGGGGGACAGACACTACATTTAATGTTTTTTATCTTTCTCAATGTCAGGTGTTTGTTCTAAGCAAGTGAGAAAAATTCCTACATACTTCCCCTGGATGGGGTTAACTTAATCCTTATCTGTTTGATAAGGTCACTGGCATGCTTTTAAGTCATTTGAGTTAATCTAGGTTTTTTGTTGTTGTTGTTTTGCTTAACGGAGGTATTTATGAAGTGAAAACTTGGTGTTGGCCTCAACATTCTACATACTTCTTTGACTGGAAACTCCTCTAAGGAGAGTTTAAAATTCCAACTTCAGAAAAATACAATGACCATTAAATTCAGAAAAGGGAAAGTGCCTCACATTCAAGACATTTTTGTGAAAGTTAGGAGAGACCACAAGCCTGCAGCTCACTTTTTCTCGTAGCTGCAGATACTGAACAGTGACCCCTTGTTCTTGACCTTTGTTCAAGAAAAGGGCTGCAGGTTGCCAACATTTGCAGTCTCTTTTTGACTAACTTTCCCCTGCCCTGTAGCCATTGTAATGCCCACGTTTTAACCTAAGGGCAAATTTGAATCATTAGGTAAGTGACAACAGCTTGTCTAAACTGGTAGATAAGAAATGTCAAAGCATAAGGTGCCATCTGTCCCAGGTTATGAATCTATGTTTGATCTGTACTCAGTGTCAAAACTCACCTGTAAAGTCAACCAAACTATAAAGGAAGGCATGGTAGTATCTGTTTCCATTGACATCATTCCTTACGAACGTTTTCAAATGTAAAGAAAAGTTGAAAATTATGCCCATATATCTACCAGCTAGATTCTATAATTGTAAGCCTTTTGTTATATTAGTTTGATCATATATCCATCTATCCACCATTATCTGTCTTAATTTTTGGTACATTTTAAAGTAAGTCACAGACTTCAGTTCACTGTAAGTGTCATTTTGGAAGCCAAAAAAAAAAAAAAAATGGAGATGAACTTGTCTGATTATAATTAACTCCTAAAAGAGTCACAAAATATGTGAATTTATCACAAAACCTAGATTTCATCATGGTTAGAGGGATCCAACATGGCTATTAATAGCCTCTAAACTAATGTATATTTTGGGTATCTTTTGATCTTTTCCATATGACTTTTAGCTATCCCAGACTACTATCATTCACAGACAACCTTCAGAATTTCTATCATATTCAAGTACCATGTGTAATATTTTCTTATTCTCTCTAAAAAATTTTATTTTCAGTTAAATTTATTTTTAGAGTACAACTTCATATTGCTACCATAAATGGAAAACCAGTATGATTTGTCATAAACAAGTTGGCCATATTTTTTTTCTATACACAAAAGTAAGTTCATATTGTATACCTTGGCTTGCATACTAAGGGAAATACCAAGTTATAGCCCCCATCCTTCCCCCTTTCCTTTCACAAATATTGGGGCACAAGAAAAGTCAAATCTTCATTGGAGGTTAGACACACAGATGATATTAGGCTGTTCTCTTTTTAAGGGACAAAAACACTACATCTAGACTTGCCTAAGTCTCATCTTGAGCTGACAATGGCGAGAGAGAGCAGGGTGAGGAAGGGCCTGTCTGAAGCCCATCTGAGATTGTGTCCCAAGTGGAACACATTCCTCATAAGCCCTGTGTTTGTCAACCCCAGCTGCTCTGCAGACCCCACACTGGCAGGAACAGAGCCAAAGCCTAATCCTTGCAGCTTGAGGTTTGGGGACCTATCAGAGCCATGGCTCTGACCATATTTTCTTTTTCATTTTGTTTCCTCTTATTGTTTTAACCCTCTCCTACCAACCTATCTTCCCCAAACCCCCTCTATGTTAACATAGGTGTGGTAGGAGACCAACAACATACCTATTTTCCTTCCTGAAATTAGAACCAAGACCTAGGAGCCAGACATATGGAGATCAAAATACCAGATTTACCACGGATGAAGGTAAGCTCTAGAATATAACTTGGGTCTGTGACCAATTAGGCTTCTTCCTACATTACCTGTGATCTGATCATTCCCACCCAATCACTGTAGAGTTAGTTAAAAACAAGCCTCTCCTGGCAGGGGTACAACTTTTCAGTGCTAAAAAACAAAAAACAATTCAAAAATGTACATATTACAGACAGGCTGGCCCTGTGGGTAAGAGAACACAGAAGGCTCCCAGGCAAGCAAGCCCAAGTCCTGCTCAGTTTACCAGTCAGATGAGTCAGTCTTTGTGACTTGGAGAACAGTTAAGTGAGGGAGGCAGAGAAAAGCTGGAAGTGATCCTCCCATACTCCTTCCTCTTGAGAAATGAAGTTACCTCCCTTTTACGGAAACAGGAGAGGTACAGGATGTTATTCCCTAACAATTACCTTCTATTGCTTCCTCCTATAGTGACCAAATGTCACAGGATGAACTTTGGGACCCTTTGTCAAGTGGAACAGGAAATAGAAGTGTGTATTGGCAGCCAAAACCAACATGCAAGGATTTTCCAGGTAATTGCTAAGCAATGGCTGCCATTGGGCATCCTGGTCAACGGGCAAAGTGGCCAAAATTGGGCATATTCTTGCTTCTCTTGATATAATTTTTTCCTCCTCAATCTGCTGTGGACATGTGCCAGCTCTGGTGCCTTGAGCCTCAGGTACCACGACCAGTCTTGCCTTTTCCCACTAGGCCCAGTAGCCAAATCTGCCTCCTCCTCTGCCTATAAGTAAAACTTACCTTCCATTTGGTTCTGTATAAATACGCAGTCTTATCATCTGATTAAGACACTTGGGTGTCGGGGTGCCTGGGTGGCTCAGTTGGTTAAGCCCTGACTCACACGGTTCAAGGGATTAAGCTCCACTTTAGGCTCCATGCTGACAGCACAGAGCCTGCTTGGGATTCTCTCTCTCCTCTCTCTGCCTCTCCCCTGCTCATGCTCTCTAAATAAATAAATAAATAAATAAATAAATAAATAAATAAATAAATAACATAAAAGCATTAATGATGGTAGGGTTTATTTATACTTTATTTTAAAATAGGAGTTTATTAAATGTAAAGAGTATGCATATGAAAATATTAGAGAAACTCTTTTGGTTTCTCTCTGTTTCTTCTGTTAACTCTCAGCTCCCTGGATGCTGCTGCTACAGTTGCATGTCATGTTTGCTTCCAAAAGACTGCCAGGTTTTTTATTAACCATCTCAGTTGCCCTCATCTGCTTAAATCCTCAGTCACCATGGAATATCAATTAAGCCATTATCAGCTATATCCATAGTGCAATTACACAGGGCCTGAGTCACAATGGGGTTGAACTCTAGTAAATCAGCTAGCGGAAACTTTATAAAAGTCATAGTAAGTCAGAATTGCGTGTGTAAATTAACATAAATATACATACAAAGGCCAAAGCAACCTTGAAAAAAAAATAATGACTTTGGAAGACCGACACTATCTGATTTTAAGATGTCTTTTAAAGCAACAGTAATCAAGACAGTATGGTATTGGTGTCAGGATAGACAAATCTACAGAACATAGTGGAGTTCAGAAATAGACCCTACATCTATGGACCACTGACTTTTTAAAAAAATTTTATTGTTGAAGTATAATTGAAATGCAGTGTTATATTAGTTTCAGCTGTACAACATATTGATTTGACAATTCTGTATATTACTCAGAACTCACCACAATAAGTGTAGTCACCATCTGTCACCAGTGTTATTTACAATTTTGTTGACTATATTTCCTATGCTGTACTTTATATCGCCATGATTATATTTATTTTATGACTGAAAGTTTGTATCTCTTAATCCCCATCATCTGTTGTGCCCATCCTCACCGACCCACCTCATCTCTGGCAACCACCAGTTTGTTCTCTGTATTTGAGTCATTTATTTGTTTGTTTTGTTTTTTAGATTCCACAGATAAGTGAAATCATATGGTATCTGTCTTTCTCTGATACACAACTGATTTTTTACTAAGGCAATACAGTGGAAAAAGGACAGTTTTTTCGAGAAATAGTGCTGGAATAATTGGATATTTATATGCAAACTCCCCCCAAACCAAAAAAACATTGATCCATATATAAAAATTATACCATACGTGAAAATCAATGTGAAATGGATCATAGATTTAAATGTAAAGCCTGGAAGTATAAAACTTCTAGAAGAAAACCTTGGTTATGCAAAGATTTCTTAGAGAAGTCAACAAAACATAAACTATAAAAAACCAAATTGATAATTTGAACTTCATCAAAATTAAAAATGTCTGCCCTTTGAAAGACACTATTAAGAGAATGAGAAGATAAACCACAGACCAAAAGTCAGTATTTGCATGTATCTGGTAAAAGACTTGCATCCAGAATATATAAGGAACTCTGAAATCTCAATTACTAAAAGAGCAAAAACAAAAAAAACCCTTCAAGAATAATGAACAACATATGTGAATAAATACTTCATGAAAGAAGACATGTGGATGGAAATAAACACATGAAAATAAGCTCAACATCATTAGTCATTAGGGAAATGCTAATTAAAACTGCAATGAGATACCACAGCACACCAACTAGAATTGCTAAATTTTAAGAGTGATCAAAAAAAAAAAAAGAAAAAAGAGATAAAAGAGTGATCATACTAGTGAGAATGAGAAGGAACTAGAACTTTTGTACACTGTTGGTGGAAATATAAAATAGCATACCTACTTTGGAAACATTTGGCGATATCTTAAAAAGTTGAACACATATACACCATATGAGCCAGACATTCTACTCCTGGATATTTATCCAAGAAAAATGAAAACATATGTTCATAAAACAACTTGCACAGAAATGATCATAGAAGATTAATTTATAGTAGCCCCAAGCTGGAAACCACGAACCCAAATGTCTACCAAGCAAATTGTGGTATGTCCCTACAATGGAATACTATTTAGCAATAAAAGGTAATAGAATATTAATACACAAAACAAGAACGGATCTCAAAAGTGAAAGAATAAGACAAAAATAAGTTCATACCATATGATTCCATTTATATGAAGTTATAGAAAATGCAAACTAATCTATAGTAATAGAAAGTTCTGATTGAACTCATATAATGCATGTTTGGATAATGGTTACATGGGTGTATACATAATTAAAAATTAAGTTAGCTGCACACTTATAATTTGTGCTCTTCACTGTTTGTAAGTAATAGTTCAATAAAAAGAAGGATAATAAAAAATAAAGAAATGCATGTTTCCTGTAGTAATTCCAACAATACAGAAGAGCATGTAGTTGAAAGCCCATTCTTCCAAGCTCCTCTTGTCTTCTCCTCGTCTCATACTTAAATGCAATCCCACTCACCAGAGGTTTCCAAAATTCACAGTGTGATATTTATTAAAGACTTGTATCAAATTTTAAGATACATAGCACTAATTTTACTCTGTTTTATATTGTAATAATTTGAATACATAGCTTATTGTCTTACTGGATTATATGCATTGAAAGCAGAAAATACAGTATGCTTCTTTATAATTCTTTTTTTCTTTTAATTTTTTAACATTTATTTATTTTTGAGAGACAGAGTGTGAGCAGGGGAGGGGCAGAGAGAGAGGAAGACACAGAAACTGAAGCAGGCTCCAGGCTCTGAGCTGTCAGCACAGAGCCCAACGCGGGGCTTGAACCCACAAACCATGAGATCATGACCTGAGCCAAAGTCGGATGCTCAACTGACTGGGCCACTCAGGCACCCCTGCTTCTTTATAATTCTTAAACAAAGTAGGGATAGAAATAAATAAATATCCTATTTTGAGGTAATTGCCATAGTTATGGACACATTATAGGTAACTAACATTCACTGTGTTTCAGACAATCCATAGGGAGTTTTCTATGTTCTATTTCACTTAATCCTCACGAGAACCAAAATGAGGTGGTTTTTCCAGTTACCTACTGCTGCATAACAAACCATACCAAAACTTAATGGCTTTAAATAATGACAAAATTTACTTTGCTGACATGTTCACAAACCTGAGTTTAGACAGGTCTTGGCAGGAATAGCTCATCTCTGCTCCAATCAGCAACAGCCAGAGTAGTTTGACAGCTCAGGCCTGGAATTATCTGAAGGCTTGTTCATTCCACATGTACGGTGGTTGGTGCTGGTCACTGGCTGAAATCTTACTTGGGGTTGTCAACCAGAACACCTCCATGTGCCCTGTCCATGTAGCCTGGGCTTCCTCACAACACAGTAGCTGGGTTCCTAGGGTGAGTTTCCAATGAGAGAGCCAGGCAGAAGCTGTATCTGTGTCGCCCTTTATGACCTGGGTTCAGAAGTCATTCAGTGTCATTTCTGCTGCATTCTATTCTTTGAAGAAACCGCAAAGTCACAATTTCAAGGAGAGGGGAAATAGAGGCTATCTCTTGATGGGGGTATGGCAATGTGGGATGGGAAATTTCGCTGTGGCCATTTTTGAGAATTTATTTTGCCACAGCAGAAACTTGTCAAGGTTAAATTACTAAAGCTTGTAAGGGACTGAGTGCTCAGAATTGTCTCTAATTCCAAAGCTCTGATTAGGATCCAGATAGTTGCCTTACTTTGTGACTTTGAAAACTATTAGTATCACATTGTCAATTCCTGTTATAGTCTCTAAAACAGATTCTTATGAGCACTGTTCATTTCCTATAGGAGGAATACATATAAATCATTTTTTAAATGTATGTGGATATTGTTGTACTGCATTAGATGTTAATTCATTTTAGGGCATTTTGAAAATTCTTGGTAGCTTTATTTACTCATGGAACAGGAATAGCATCTTCCAGGAAGCAGAGGTGAGAGAGAGTGTAGAATGTGTGGAAAACAGTGTGGACTGAAATGTCTGAAGGGGAAAGTAGAGAAGCCAAACCTGTAAAAGAAGGGCTTAAAAAGCAAGCAGGGCTATGTTATCAATAAAGAACTTGTACCCTATCCTGAGGGCAAAAAGGGCCAGTTGAAACGTTTTAAGGAGGGAAATGATGGGGTCCAGATTTGATTTTTAAATGACCACTCTAGCGTTAGTGTTGACTATTTAATAAAAACATGGGATTTGGAGTGATATGCCAATCTCAATTCACCTGCTTACTGAACAAGCTGGAATTTGCTTGGAATCTAGTGTATGGTTTATAGATAGAGGTATTTTCCAATATAAGAAAGTTGTGTTTTCTTTTGATATCTTTAGTTATGGCTGTTAAAATGTTTCTAGTGTCTTATTAGATGTGCACAGATTTAAGTCCAATTCCTGATTTCCAACTAACTGTTGTGCACATGCGTTCTAATGAGGCTGAGTATTCTCTAATCCACCTGCATTCATCATGATGGGCTCGGCTATAGAGTGGTGACAAATAAACCCTGATACATCAGTTGTTTAATACAATAAAGGTTTATTGTCTGCTTGTGTAAAGTCTGAAACAGGTTGAGAAACTTTACATTATAAACATGGCGTCAGAAACACATAACAGTTGGAGGCTTTCACAAGATGAGGTAAAGCCAAGCCTAGAGGTGGCTTCTATCCATTTCTACCCATGTTCTGTTGATTAGAAATCAGGCACAGGCTCAAATCTAACTGCCAAAGAGGATGGAAAATGTGGAGGTACACACAGATATTTCACAAGCATTGGTAGCCTCCATCACCTTTCTCCCTGCCCAGATTTTCTGGGACTCTCAATCAACTGAGATTAAGATTCTCATAATGAATTGATACAGAGTTTTGGGGGTTTTTTTTCTTTTGTTTTTTTGTTGTTGTTGTTTTTAAATTCTGTCTACAGTGTATTATTTCTGAGGACAAGATCCCTCTGGATGCATAGCTTCATTACCAGAATGACTCCTACTTAGATTCTGTGTCATTGGGAGTTCATTCTGTCTTTTTGTGAGATTTAGATCCATTCAGTCCAGAAACTTCATTAAAAGTGAAAAATAATTATAGATTTAACTTATTTACTAAAGCCAAAATAAAGCAGACACTTGCTGTGTATTAGATTTGACTTGATACTGTTTTCTTTTCTTTCCTTTTTTTTTTTTTTTTTTAATTTTTAAAAGGATAATTATTCTTAAAAAAATGGCTTCAGGGGCGCCTGGGTGGCTGGGTGGGCTGATGGCTCAGAGCCTGGAGCCTGCTTCCGATTCTGTGTCTCCCTCTCTCTCTGCCCCTCCCCCGTTCATGCTCTGTCTCTCTCTGTCTCAAAAATAAATAAATGTTAAAAAAAACCTTTTTTTTTAAAATGGCTTCAGGGGACACGTGGGTGGCTCAGTCTGTTAAAGTCTGACTCTTGATTTTGGTTGAGGTCATAATCTCACGGTTGTGAGATTAAGCCCCATATCATACTCCATGCTGGGCAGGAAGCCTGCTTAAGATAAAATATTCTCTCTCTCTCTCTCTCTCTCTCTCTCTCCCTCCCTCCCTCCCTCCCCCGCCCCCGATCCTCCCCTCTCTCAAAATAAATACATAAATAAAATTTAAAAAAATATATGGCTTCAGGCTGGAAGAACTATTTTGAATTGACAGGGAAGAATGTGAAATCTCCTATATTACATTTTCTTCCCTTCTCTTCTTTAAGAAAAAAGAATAAAAACAGCCCAGAATATTGCATGTACAAGTGACTTAGAGAAATCTTATCTTCTGTCCTTTTAAGTTTGGAATATTGGTATTATTGCAGGGAAACACAATCAGTTACCATACTACATATATTTTTAATGTCATACTTGTGAATAAGAGAGCATTTGGAAGCAGTTACACTTATTTTTTTTTTTTTTAACCATCATTTCCCCAATAAACTTTTAAGGTTAGTTTCTTTGGTGTTTGGGATTCTACTCTGATGGTGTGCAGTTGTTTTACATGGCCTGTGACCCTCAAACAGCTCATCAGCCATGGAAGGAATGAATTCATCACACAGGGTTTAATTTGCCCTTCACTAAGATCTTTAATTTCCGCCCTGGGAGCCTTGCTCAGTTACATGGTATCTAACCTGGTGATGGCAACCTAGCAACTGGGTGGAACGTGGCCTACCTCAAGCAACGCTCAGGGGTAGAGGGCACAGGGAAATGTTAATTATTTACAGTGGTGGATTAGTGGAGCTGTGGGAGTTCACCCAGGCCACTGACCACCATCTACTGGAGCCAATAGCTTTTTCATCTGAAGTGCACCCAGATGATATGGTTATGAGGACCCAAAAAATATGCTCGTTTAATTATACAACATTTCTGGATGGGCAAAAAGCAGCTTATAAAGCTGAATGATAATTAAATTTAACCTAAAAAAAATCACATATTATTAGAATGGTTAATTTTCTAAGTAGCCATAGCATTTTAAGTTGTGCAAAAAATAGAGCTGCTGTTTAAATTTTAAATAGTACGTCCAACCTGTCTGGTATCATATTAAAATGGTCAAGGCTAATACTAGACTAGGTGTGCAGAATCACTGCTTACAGCATATTTGAGTGTGAGAGACATTAGCATTATTGTTAACAATATTAAAATCAGAGATTATTACATAGGACCAAGAAGAAACACTATGTTTTCTCTGGGGTGTGTGTGTGTGTGTGTGTCTGTGAGACAGAGTACCTGAGGCTAAACAAGAAAAGGAGGCAACACTTATTAAGCACCCACTGAGTGCCAGTTATTTTATACACATCACCTTTGGGTGAGGTAGCTATAATTATCCCCTATTTGCAGGTGGTATAACTAAGACTTAGGGGACAGTGCAGTTTGCCTAGGGTGATGAGGCTGGATCCCAAAGCCCTTTTTATTTTCACTACAACGCATGTCAGATCAAAAGACTGAAGTGCAGAAACAGAAGACTTACCACAGGGCAGTTAGGAAGGAGTGGGCAGCCGGGGAAAGGACTGGAGCCATGGGAACTGGAAGGAGGCACACCAGTTAGCTCCATTTTCATTCATACCTAGTATTCCCACATCTTCTATTATAGGAGGTTAACTTCTCAGCTTGAGCCCCAGTGTGAACTGAAGAGCCCTCGGAGAGAGCTCATCCCAGAAAAGGGGGAGACAGCACACTGCATTGGCCTGAGTTCCAAAGCCTCGGAGTCCGAGAAAGGTGAGCATTCTGAGTAGTCTGACCCATCCCATCCGAACCTTTTTCCTTCCCTCTCTCCTTCCATACACATCAGACTTGCAGTGAGGTCTAAAGGCTCTCCCTGGTTTCTTTCGTTCTCTCTACCAATAAATATCCTGTACATGTAGTCTTACCTTGGCATTAGCTTCATGCTGAACCTGAACTGACACAGAGTCATTGTCTCATCCCCTTTCCGCCATGTTACAGGCCATTAGGCAGCTCTAGTATATTGAGAGAAGGGAGCCTTGAGTGCCTGCTGGTTGTAGGCTTGTTTTTGAACATATGTGAGTCCTTCATCCCAGGAACTACAGGACACACCTGGGGACACTTTGAGATACCAGATAAGTGGGTGGGGCAAGATGCCATGAAACGTGGGCTGTGGCTGTTTGTGTGACCCCATTGGTGGCCATAGGCTGGTGAGATGATGAGGAAATTTAAGGTTATAAACACACAATAAAAATATCATACTGAACTGATGATAACTGCTATCATAAGCAAGATAAACATGAACCCCATGTTTAGTTTCTATAGCAAGAATATTATAATCATGTTGTACATGTAAATTAGGTAAAATAGAGGCAAAAATTTACTGCTTGCTGTATGCTAGGCACTATACTAAGCTCTTTATTTGATAACCCTAAGGCAGACGCTTATTTAATATCCATTACTCCCTTCTTCTATGCTAATAAAACCCTCTTTTGTTTGAGAAAACAATGAACCAGCCCCAGCTAATGGCTTATGTCACACAATCATGACACTCCTGTTTTCCATGGTCCCAGCTTCTTCTGCCCTGAGAGGTGTCCACACAACTCAGTTCTGTCCAGGAGACCTGAGCAGAAGTCTGCTGGGGTGGAGACAGAGGACTGAGTCATGAAAATGCTTCTCCTAGAAGACTACAGTAGCAAATCCCTCACCCTCTTCAGATCTTTGCTCAAATGTCACCTTCCCAGTGACACCTACCCTGAACACCTGTTTAAAATTGTAGAGCCAGGCACATAGGACTCAAAACATTATGTTTTTCTTTGGGGCAAGACATGAAAAAAAAATAGGGAAAATTGCCAGAGAAAGTGCAGAATAGCAAGCACAAATGCCCCGGGACAGGAACATGCCTTGTATGTTTGGGGAATTGGAGGGGGCTGTGATGTAGGTGAGGAGAGAGAGATGAAACCAGAGTGACAACGGACAGCCTGATCACATGAGGGCTTGCCGGTCCCAGTAAAGCCTTTGGCTCATGCTCTGAGTGAGCTGGGAAGCCAAGGAGGAGCTGAGAGGAAGAATGACAGCCTCTGCCTTTCATTTAAAAGTTCTGTGTGGCTGCTGTTGAGACAGATTGAAGGGGGCAAGGGTGGAAGCAGAGAGAACAGTTAGGAAGCTACTGCGAAAAGCCAAGCTGGTGATGGTGGTAGCTTGGATCAAGGTGGTAGCAAGGAAGAAGGAGAGAAGTGACCAGGTTCTAGATGTATTTTGAAGCTGTTGTCAACAGGATTTGCTCACGGATTGGGTATGGATTGAGAGAGGAGAAAAATAATGGATGATGTCTAGGTTTTTGCCTGAGCAACTGAAAGCAAGGTAATTAGGAGAACTACAGTGAGAAGGGGTTTTGAAGGGAAATCTAGGCCCTCAATTTTGGACATGTTTAAATTTGAGATGTCTATTATATATCCAAGTGGAGACATTAAATAGTCAAATGGATATACAGTTCTTGCTTTTGTGGGAGACGTTCATGCCAGGGATATAAGCAGTATTGGAAGCTATGAGATTGGATGGATTTACATAAGACATAAGTGTGGGTCAGAAAGCAAGCAAGCAAGCAAGCAAAGAAAAAAAGGGAGGAGTGTTGGGAGGGAGGGAGGGAGGGAGGGAGGGAGGAAGGAAGGAAGAAAGAAACAAAGAAAGAAAGAAAAAAAAGAAAGAAGGACAGGGAGAGAGAGGAGGGTTGGGAGGGAGGGAGGGAGGAAGGAAGGAAGGAAGAAAAGGAAGGAAGAAGGAAGGAAGGAAGGAGGGATACATGAAAGAGAAAGAAATATAGTTCAAGTGCAAGGATGAGCCTTGGGACATTCCAATAATAATGATACTAACATGTGCTGGGTACCATCACCTTATCTGCAGGTGCTCATTTACCCCTTGTAAAAATGTTGCAAAGTAAATACCCTCACCTGACTGGATAGTAGGGGACTCTGTTTCACAGAGATAAGTCATCTGTCCAAAGGCACACAGACAGTTAAGTGCTATTATCTACCTGACTTTGGAGATAAATAACTTTGAGTTTAATGTCCTCCAGTAACTTAAAAACTTTGGCATCATCCTTTGTCTTGTATTCCCCATCCAACCAGCCTTTTGGGTCTATTTTCACAGTAAGGTTCCGTACAGCATGTGCTAATCCCTTACCTTGAACCACCACTTATGCCTCCTAATAGGATTTCCTGCCATTCACTTCTCCCCACCCTAATCCATCCCTTATCTTCCTAAAAATAAAGCTGATTGTGTCACCTTCCTGCTTAGCCCTTCTATTAATTCCCCATTATTTGCAAACTATAATTCAGCCTCTTGAGTTTAGGTTCTGGGAACCTTCACAATCTGGCTCCAAGCTACTTTTCCAGTCTCATCTCCTGCTACCCTCCCTGCAAACTCACCTCCCATGCCAGTTACTTTCCTGTGACATTGAACCTCTGGTTGAGACACACCAAGCTCTTTTGCAACTCTGTTTCACATGCTGTCTCCTTTTTGTGCCCATACTGGTTAACCATCTTCCCCCCCCCCCCCCCCCCGCCCCAGTACAACATTGACTGGAGGACAGACCGTGGGCACTGTGTCTTGTTCCACATCGTGGAAGAAAACTTTCAGTTTTTTGCCTTTAAGGACGATGTTACTGTAGGATTGTTTTAGATTCCCCCTTCTTTTTGTAACTGCTAAGAATTTATTGTTGTTTTGTCATGAACAGATGTTGAATTTTATCACGTGTTTTTCTGTGTCCATTTGGTATCATAAATTCTCTCCTTTAATCAGTCACTGACTTATTTTCTACTGTTAAATTAACCTTATATTCTTCAGGTAAACCCAACATGATCTTTATGTAGTATCCTTTCTTTTACATATATTTCTAGATTCCATTTGCTAATACTTTATTTAGCACATAGCCCTCCCATCTGTCAGGGGCCTGGGGAGAGCAGTGTTTGGAGGGGCAGCCAAACCAACTTGATAATTGGGAGCAAAGTTTGATTTCCATTTCTCTCTGGGATTAGGGGCTCTAAATGGATGTCAAGGCCTGGGGGTAAAGGGGATGTCTGAAGCTCTGTGTTACTAGAGGAAAATGAAACTTTCATTATTGGTAACCTTCATATTCAGTACAAAGTTCGGTACACATTCAATCCAAAAATCAAAACAGATCTTGTTGTGATAAATCAAGTTTTAATTTTAGTGAAATAAAAGGCTAATACTTACAAATAAACCTATTCAATGTTTAATTTGCTAGCTCACCTTACATAAAAAATAATGAATAAAAAGAAAACAAAGTCCTACCAAGGCCCCAAACACCCCTGCAGAAAGCCTTTCTACATCAAGTCCATGAATGACATCGTCTCTGGCACTTTGATGAGGCCGAGGTTGATGAGGGTGTTCTTTTCCAGTTCTAAGTAATTGTCATAGTCTGCTTTCAATTCAGCCTCCATCTGTTCTTTTGACTTCTGATATGTTTTCTAGGGTGAAAAACCAAATCATGCCAATAAAACATTGACAGCTAGAAACACCAAAGGAAAGAAGGGGCTAGTTTTGAGCAGTTGGCCTAGCCGCTGCTCTCTGGGAGGGGTTTGTGGGAGGGCATCTCTGGCACAGGAGGTAGAGTAGCTGCTGGCTCCCAAGGGGGAGTGGCAGAGATAGAGTGGAGAAGTGTGTGCACATTTCCGTGGCTCAGGAAGCCTCCTGCTGGAGGCCAGTTCTCCATCGTGGCCTGCAACTCTTCTCTAGCAGTGCTCCCATGAAGGTCTCCTCATGGAGAACTGAGAAGTGGGTAACACGTGGCCCTTTGACACCTCTCTCCAAAAATAAAAACAAAAAACCCTTTTCTAGTCTTCTTCCTCATGACTCTTGGGTCCCTCGTGTAGCCTGGAGTGTGGATAATTGACTAGAGGTTGCAGAAGTCTTTTGAATTCCTCCCACTACCAAGTCCTGTGTAGGTGGCATAGCTTATGGATCACATGGAAACCGCTACTTTTTCCAGCTTTGGGTCTCCAGCTGAAATTTCAGTTAGAAAAATTCCCATTTTATGTGCTGTTAGAGCTGTGATTGCTATTATTTTTCAAGAGGTGAGCTGTATTCAGACTCGGTGTTTGCAAAGAGATATGTGTATGGTTTTCCTCAGATTTGTGGATCAATGTGTACAACCCAATCCCTGGCAACTGCAGGGCATTCATTCAGACAAGCCTTGCTGGATGGATGTGCGTTCTTCCCGTGCCTTCTGCAATAATAGCAGCGAATGCTTACTACCGTTTTCTCTGTGCCAGTTCCTGGCTAAGTGCTATAAACATTTTAACTCATTTAATCTCTGCTACAGTCCTCTGAGGTTGTTACAGTTTGTTCCCATTTTCCCTTTTATCAGCAGTTGCTCCTTAGAAGATATTTCTCACAACATTAGTTGTTTTTCCTTGGTGACAATTTTCATGTTCTAAATGTAACAGAGGAGCCCTTTTAAACCCATTCACTTATCCCCAATCTAGTTCCAGAGAAAATTTGACAAGTGGTAGCTCTACTTAAAAGAAGGTACCATGGGGGTGCCTGGGGGTGGCTCAGTCAGTTAAGCGTCCAACTCTTGATTTCAGCTCAGGTCACAATCTTACCATTTGTGCGTTTGAGCCCCTCATCAGACTCTGTGCTGACGGTGCAGAGCCTGCTTCAGATCCTCTGTCTCCCTCTCTCTCTGCCCCTCCCCTGCTCTTGCTCACGCTCTCTCTCAAAATAAATAAACTTAAAAAAAAAAAAGAGGGTAATATGTCAAATGGAAATGAACTCAGTTACAAGAAGTTGGAGAGGTTTTGGAAACTCAAGCACAGGGGTGCCTCGGTGGCGCAGTCGGTTAAGTGTCTGACTTCAGCCAGGTCATGATCTTGCGGTCTGTGAGTTTGAGCCCCGTGTCAGGCACTGGGCTGATGGCTCAGAGCCTGGAACCTGTTTCTGATTTTGTGTCTCCCTTTCTCTCTGCCCCTTCCCCGTTCATGCTCTGTCTCTCTCTGTCCCAAAAATAAATAAACGTTGAAAAAAAAAAAAAAAGAAACTCCAGCACATCATTATACAATTTCAAAATATGATTATTATAATATTTAGGTGTTTTACAAGTATTTTATATGCAAATTAATTTTGGATTATCCACCAGTCTACTTGCTTCCACTGATGTGGATAATTAGGAGCTGTCGCTATGGTATTTAAACACTGACAATAATCATGGATAATTGCTGGCGTAAAGGAAGGGTGTCAGGTTATTTTACACAACAGAATTTCAATTGGTATTTGTGAGTGTGCAAAAGAACAGAAGAAGGCCAATTTTCTGTAAAAAGGGAAACAAGGGAAAGTTAATTAATTGGTATTCTTTCATGCCTTGTGACCACTAAACCATGTTTTTGAAATGAGGCCCCCTGTTTTTATTACACTAACATGTGTCTAGCAATAAGTAATAACATTAACATTAAAATTTCCACATGCCCATGCTTTTAATTGAGACCCAGGGTCTCACATGAATAACAGTGTTGGAGGAGGTTATATATTTGGCTATAAGGAATCTATAAATGGGATCAGTGGTGAAATTGCTGGTGACAAAAGGCCTAGGAAGGGAAGGAGCAAGAGAGAAGTAGAAATACAGACTGAGATGACCCCTCGTGACAAAGAGAGAAGAGCTGAATTCACAGACTATTTCAAGGCCCCACTCCCAGTGGGTGAGGGGAGACCAATGGAGTGACAGAATTCATATCAAACAGAGGCTGGGAAACAGGAAGGTGAGGGGCTTCAGAGCTTCGGTTTCCTTTCTGGTAGAAGGATGTGTCCTCTACCAAATTCTCCTCGATCTCAAACTTTGTAGCTCCCATATATTGTATTATAGTA